ATACTTTGTTTCACCAGGGGTGTTAACCAAGGTGAGTCCCGCATCCGTGCGCGGTTGCATAAAATTCTACAGCGGAGTTGCTTGGAGGGGTCTCCAGGAAGGGCTCCCACCGTGGGCGACGCACGTTGAAATCTCCACACGGAATGAGCGGCGACGAGACCGAGAGGCAGTTCAGCAACCGCCTAAAGTTTGTGTCAGTTGCGGCGGTGGTCTCATATAGGTGCTCGCTACAATAAGATCACGGTTCTGGCCCAGCGCGACCCGGACCACCACCACTTCAAGGCTGGAATCACGTTGAGGAGTGATGAGGGGCATACGCTTGGAGCGGAGGTTTTTCCTCACCAGCACCGCTGCAACACATTCCTTGCGGATACGTGATTGTGCATGGAGCATATACTCTCCAGTATGCATTGCTGGCGATCTGCTCCGACGACTTCCAGGTTTCCTGGATGGCTATTATGTCTGCCCCTTGCGCCATTAATGTTGCGAGTTTGGCCGGCGTCAGTGAGGGAACGGTCATCTGGAGTGCTGCTATGGGGCTCGGGCTCCGCTCAATGTCTCCGCCTCGCAGTAGCTTTTGCCTCTGTGCGTCACTTACGGCACGCAGACGACATGTGTAGCGCTGGTAAGCGCCGACGAAATCCGGCAGCAGTGAAACCCGCTCTTCCGTCGCATCGTCCGAATTCTACTTGCTGCGATCCCCACTGCTGTCTGCACACTTCGTGCTTGTGTGCCCCCTGGTGACCGGGATATGCGTTGGCCCTTCGCGCTGTATGCGCTTGAATTGTCCTTTCGCGACTCTTCGCTTGTCTTGGCACCTGGCCCCGGCGGTGTATTGAATGCGTTGCTGCGCCATCTTGTACCCACAGCCCGCTGCTCGCTCAGAACGATGAGTAGCACCTCCCTCGCTGACGGTAGCCTGCGAAGTTCCTGGGAAACGGGGGACACTACTCGCATCCGCAGACACGGGAAGGACGCATGCCGCACGGAGAGTTGTCGGCCCCTCCCGCTGCTCTCTGTCCTGCTAGGAGTGAGCGAATGACTGGTCCACCGCCGCCTGTCAGCGCTGCTGGCACGCCACCGACGTCAGCCTTTATCCACGCCACGACGCACGGTCTCCGACGTGGTGACGCCTGTCCGTGACAAAACGGCACGAGGGCTGAGCGAGCGCATCGCTGTGGAGTGTGAGCGTCGCAGGGGCGGCGTCCCGCGCTGCACCGTCGCCGTCGCCGCTCTCTCGCAGTCCCGACCGGCATCTCGACTGCGTTCGACACCGTTGACGATGGGCGACTGCTGGCTGTGCTGTCGAGTTCAACACTGGTTGCGCAGCCACCTGGGAGGCGGCCACGTTGGGGTGAGTGATCGCGAGCAATATTCACGAAAGCAGCTCCCTTTAGCCGGGGCAGCCCAATGCAGCACGTGGATAACACTGGTCCGAGGAACACTTGTTTGGACGGGTGTGAGCTGCTGCCGTGCGTGGTGCGTGGACTATTTGATTGTGTGGGGAGGTGCATTGGAGTGACGAATACTTCTGTTTGGCGTGTCGCGGTGTGTTGGAATGATGTTCGGATGGCATGTGAAGGGCGTTGTTTGTGATTTGTGTGTCTTCTCTGGTGGAGCCGACATGTGTGCGGGGATTGTGGCATTGCTGGCTGACGGTTCCACGTCACTTTTCAGCATTCCTGGATGTGCTGAGGGATGACGGCTGGCGACCAGCGTGTTGGTGCTGCTGCTGGGAATAAGTACACGAGGAATTGGCCATTTTCTCTTTCCCATGCTGGAGCCGATGAACTGGCACGAGGGCACCGGCTGCAGGCTGCCTGCCAGCACGTGTGAGCACCGGATCCATGCACGCACAGACGCTCATCGCAAGAGCGTGTGCGATCACAGTGGCCTTTTGTGGCGTGCTTTTGTGGGCGTCAGCCCATCGAAGAATGTGTGAAGCAAACGACTGACGGAACACGAGGAAAATAAGTGCGTGCACTGTGCCGTGTTTCGGCATCGATGGCAGAGCGGCAGGAAGCCCGTGCTGGCAACTGAGATCTTTGCGTCGCGAGGGATGTCGGTGTTGATTTTGGATCGTCGAGGGTGAAGTGATTTTGCTGCTGCCCGTGTGTGTGACGACTCCGGCAGAGGGCGGACACAAAAGGGAGGGATGCAGGCGCTGCGTGTGTGTGTGCAGGTGCCATGCAACAGCGTCACAACAAACATGCTGCGACTCGGTGACCCTCACATTGTTGTGGTCCTCACGAACAGCCCAGGCACGGCCCACACCGATGCACTTAGTGGACGGAGTGAGGCATCTTTTGAGGCGCTGCAGGGAACAGGATGTGTTGACGCAGCCACGACGTGCATGGAGTGTCACGATGGCACAGTCGGCTGTGGCTGGTGGAATATTTACTTCTCGGAGGCAACGGAGAGAGAGAGAGCTGCTCCTGCTGCTGGCGTCGTTGCTGCCTTTTGTGGCCTCCCATGCCGATTATTGTCTGTCCGCTGATCATGGGTGGCATGCCTCCACTAGTGACGTCGTCTGCAGGCATTTCACAGCACCAGTGAAGCACACATCACGTCGCATGCTTTGGCTGTGGATGTGGTGTCGTGAATGCAGCCGGCATTATTTTGCCCGACTTCTTTTCACTGCTTTGCGACAAATAGATGCGTCCCCGCCCGAGTCATTCACTGCAGCTCCGTGTGTTGTACAGCCAGCACAAGACTCTCTTGTTGTCTGACGCCTGGCTGACAGTCAAACACCACTGCGTTGGGACATGCAGAGATGTGGATTGCCGCTCACGGTGTTGGGCACCGCTGTTTGGATGCGGCGGCCACACAAGCGGATGTGTTGTGGCACAATCAAATGCGCGAAATACGCGGAATCACAGCGGCTGCAATAATATCAGCGGTGTGGCACCACGGAATGTGTGAGGGGGTGATGCATGATGAATCACAGTGGGCGGCATGCGAGGGAAGTGCACCGCGACGGAGCGTCACCCCGCCCTCAGCCTGCAGGGGAATGTACACCCACAAAATATATGGACGAGACACCACCAAACACACATGCCCTTCCATGCACCAATAAATAGGAGCGAAGGTGCGTTCTGGTGTGTGGGAGTCCACTCACATATTTTCATTTCCACCGCAATAAACGGTGAGGAATCAGGTGCCACAGCAACGAAAGGAAAAACAAACATCTATTGCAGCACTTTACCAGCTAAAAGCGGGAACAACACAAATTGAATTATTGGCTGCACCAACACAATAAAAATTCACAAGAGAAGAAAACAGTTGTGCACCCTGCAGAAATCCCCAACACACGATGCGGGCATGAAGGTTTGCCCTCCGCAAAAACAATAACAAAATATGCAGACACCTTCCACCCTCCAAAAAGAAACACGAATAAATGGCTGCTTTATTCCATTCCTTGCGCTTGACTTTGCGTGTGCTGCTTCTGCTGCGGTGGTGGCCGCGCTTCCCGTGAACCAACAATCCACGTGGTGTGCGGGGATCTTCTTTTTTAATTGTTACTTTGCTTTTGTGTTGCTGTGGGCGCTGCACCTATTCTCTTATGTGTGTACCCTCCGTGAGGGGAGCAGACACGACGGACCGCTCTCGCCGTATGTGCATGCGGTGGAGCCTTGTGTGCCGCTCCTGTTTGCTTCTCCCTCCTCCATCTGTGTGTTGGTGTTGCGGCAGGGCTGTGTGTGTGTTGCCGTGGATTGGAGTGTGTGTCGTGCGTGGTGTGCGGCGTGCGGTGCATGCCTGGCTGCTGCCCTCTCCTCATGTGGTGTGCCCTCTGTGTGTGTGTCTGTCGCACCTCTCGTCTCCCCTGTTGCTCTCCATGTCCCTCACTGTGCAGATCAGCTCCACACCACTGAACGACCACACTCACGCTGATGATGACGTGCCGTCTGCTGTGCGCTCTGTTGGTGCTCGCCCTGTGCTGCTGCCCGTCCGTGTGCGCGGCAGGTGAAGAGGAAGAAGCTAACCGCAGTACGGACTCCGATACGCAAAAGGGTGTAGGTAGGACAAACGGTAAGCAAAATGGAACAAATGGGAGCCCAGAACTAACGACCAAAACGTCAGAGGACGAAGGTGAGAGCGGTACGCAAGTCATAGAAGGCAGACTCACCGATGTGATCTCCAACAGTGATGCTGCGTCCGGTGAGCCAGGGAAACCAAGCGCTGTGGATCAATCCGCAAAAAAAACAAAATTGGAGGTTCCTGTGGAAAAAACGACGACCACGACGACAACCACAACGACCACAACTACAACAATGGCACCAACTACTACAACAACAACCACTGCGCCGGAGGCACCAAGTACCACGACTACAAAGGTGCCAACTACGACGACCACCCGCGCACCGTCACGTCTGCGCGAAATCGACGGCAGCCTCAGCAGCTCTGCGTGGGTGTGTGCCCCGCTGCTGCTTGCCGTATCCGCGCTGGCGTACACCACTCTGGGCTGAAGAGGTGTGTGCGGGCTGTGCGTGCCGGCACTCAACCGCGTGGATTTGTGTGCGTCTACTGTGGTTCGATGTAAATAAATAAATGAGAGAAAATAATGATTGTGTTTTGCTTCATTTGCTTCTGCTGCCCTGCTGTGTGCTCCATGTTGTGTCCCACATCCGTCACTTGGAACGCACCCCAGACACACTCATATGCACGACACGCATACAACTGTTTGCGTGGATGCATGTTTGTGTGCTGGTGCATGCGCACTGGAGTCATTTGTTGCAGCTCCTTGATTTTTGTGTTTTACTTGTTTTTACTTTATTGATGTGTGTTTAGTCGTGTTGTGTTTTAATTGTTTTTTGCTGATTATTAATTGCTGCAGGGCCGTTTGTATTTTTTTTGCCCTTTCACTGTTTTCAACTACCTCATGGTGTGTGCACTTGTTGCTGTACGGTGACTGTTGTGTGACTTGTCTCTCTCCTCTGCTTTCACTCTGCGTTGACGGGGAGTTAGTTTGTGCTGAAGGCTACACGCAAGTGACAGGAGTGATGGCGATGATGATGACTGGCCGTGTGCTGCTGGTGTGTGCCTTCTGCGTGCTGTGGTGCGGTGCCGGCGGTAGGTGTAAAGGGGAGACGGCAGTTCTTGGGAGTCGTGCTGAACTTCCACCAGCACCTCTTGAAACGTCTCAAAAAGGCCCCCAAGAGTTACAAAGTGGAGAACCAGGTGCTAAAGGAACTGCATCACTTGCATCTCCCCCTCCTAAAGATAAGGATGCAGATGAAAATGAAGATGAAGGAGATGAAGATGATGATGCAGATGAAGACACGGATGAGTCAAAAGTAAGAAGAACAGAAGGGCAGAGTGGTGAAAAAGCAAATGCTGCATCAGACCCAGATTCCGGGGAAAAGAATTTAATTGGCAGCGGGCAGGAAACAGGCCAGTCAATTGCACCTGCAGGGGACATTTCTCATTCCGACAGTCAGGAAACAAAAGCCAATCCCACGCAAACGGAGATCGAAGAAAAGAATGAGACTGACGAAAATACACCTGCAGTAGAGAAAGCACTCACACCAGGTAACGGAGAGAACACACTGCCTGGGGGAATTGCGGGAGGAAATCCTCCACCACCTCCAGAAGAAGGTGTTGATTCCCGCGAACAGGATGGCGAAGACACCACGAGTGAAGGCGAAAAAAATGTTCAGTCGCCTGCGACCGCAGCCACACCACAAAGCCACCGAGAAGGAGGCTCAGAAGGGACTGAGGAAGACACAAAAGCAAAGACAGTAACCGCCAATACAACTGATACGGCGAATACACAAAACAATGACGGCAGCACCGCGGCCTCCCACATCACCTCCCCTCTTTTGCTTTTTTTTGTTGTTGCGTGTGCGGCTGCTGCTGCGGTGGTGGCCGCGTGAGAGTATGAGGGAGAGAGAGCCGCGCACCGCCCACACACACACTCGTCCTTCTCTCTCTGTGTGTGTGTCCCCTTGCATGGACTCTCGCCCTCACCTCATCCCACGAGGCACACACATAATGTGCCCATTGTACATATGCATGCACACCCATGCATGCCCGTTGGTGCTCTCTTTTGCACGACACGCACCGCTGCCGTCCTGCCTGGCTGCATGGGCGGAGCACCGTAACTGTTTTTGTTTTTATTGCTTTGAGTGGGCGACCTCTCTCTCTCTCCCTGTGTGTGTGTTTTGCTTTACGGGAGCAATGAGAGTGTGTGTGCTGGTCGTCCCACGCTTTGGCTTTTTTTTTAATGTTTTACTTGTGTTGTAGCTGAGAGCACCCATTTCACAGACTGCGCGTGTGTGATGATATGTGGAATTTGCGTGTGTGCTATCAGTATCTCTCTGCCGTTGCTTTCTTTGGACTCTCTTGTGCGGCACAGCTGCTCTGCATGCATAGGCGCTGACAAGCACACAAGCACAAGCACATACACATGCCATGTCGCACACGCCGTGGAGCTGAGTGAACGCTGAGAACGCACGCACGCACAATATTCTGACTGCGGCGGCCCTTCCTAAGAGGGTTGTATTGAGCTCGCGATTTGTCTTGTTGACGTGCTGCTGGTGTGTGGTCGATTGGGTGGCATCGAGTGTGCCTGGGACAAGTGTGGATTAATTTTTTTCCAGCAGCTGCAAGTGCTGACGTGTCTCTACCGCTGTGGATTTGCCGATATTCTTTGGCTGTGCGGGGTGATGTGCGCTGGCGGAGGAGCGGCATCCAGTAGGGACTAAAGTAAAACGAATCGCGGCAGCACGTGGGTGCTGCGAAGGGCGGTTGTGCTCTTTTGTAATTTGCTGGTTGTGTTTGTTGTGTTCGCGTCGTTCGGTGTGTGCTGACTTGTAAATAATGACAAACTCGCCGTTATTCCTGCTGGTGGCAGTCGCTGTGTGTTCCCGGTGCACTGTTCTTTCATCTCCTGTTCCGTGTGTCTGTGTGCGTGAGTTGTTGTTGTTGGGAGTGACTGCGGCGGGGATGATGGTGCCACTCACTGTGGATGATTGGCGGTGCTCACTGTTGTGCTTCTTTTGTGGGCATTTTTTCTCTTTCACTCTTACGAAGGAAACAAGCAAGCGCTAAACGCTACTGTGAAATTCGAAGGCACTGAAAGGACCAACAGCACACACACCGCCCGCACACACATATTTATATGCTCTCACGTGTTGCTGGAATAAAGGCACCCCGCACACACAACCGTCGCCGCGTGACCGGATCCAGCGGAAGGAGGAGGGAAGGAAGAGAGAGTGAGCCGCGGGGGCCCAACATGTCGCGGCGTGTGTTTACTTCCGCGGTGCTCCTCCTATTTGTGATGGTGTGCTGTGGCAGTGGAGTTGCGCGTGCAAAGAGGGTGGGTGATCCAAAGCCTACGGTTATTTTTGTACCATGGGAAACGAAGGTGTCTTCTGGCGCATTTGAGAGGCAACAGCTATGGAGAAAATGGTTTCAAATTCTTTATTGGCCGTTTTCTTTTTGAAATACTATGGCTTGATTGTGGGTATTGCCAAGGCCAATTAGGGAGTCCCTTCTAGTGCCAGTGTTGGCATTTGGTCAAAGTACGTGAGTTTTACACGGGAAGAGTGGAAGAGAGGAACCGCAGCGGAGAGCGTGACGGACTGGAGGACGGTTATTGCCGTGGAACGAAGAGAAGAGGCGGTTCATGCGTCTCAATTGAACGGTCCCAAGGCGTTGACGAAAGACGGCAATATTTTTCTGCCTGTGGAACGCCTTCCTGCGAAAAATGCCAGCGCGATTTTGGAAACTCCACACATGTGGGAGCTTGTGCCTGTTTTGGGTGACGTTTTTGGTCTCCAACGATGTGGGCAAACGCATCACGTGGGGTGCTGGGAGCCTTTCCAAGGCTGTTGTTGACTCTCAGCTACGAGCGAAGTCATGGAATGGGTTCTGGGGTATTGGCGGCAGGGGCGTGGTGGCGAATGGCACCGCGATTGTGTTTTTTCCCTTGTGACTGTGAAGGGGGACAACACAAAAGTCTGCAACATCATCCATTCGAAGGGCTGTGGCGGGAATTGGGGGTTCCCTGCGGAGGGTGTTGCTGACGGGATTGCGCTGATCCCGATCTCTTTGAGTGGGAGGGAAAACTCCTCATGGCCGCCACGCATGGAGGCCATGACGGGAAAGTGCATGAGTCCGGTGAAATGGGAGAGGCATGGATGTAATTCGGCGGAGCATATTTGAATGTCTTGAATGAGGCCTTGAAGAGTGCTACGACTTGTGGCCGACTCGAAATTGTGACGGTATCCATCGAGGGGAGGAGTGTAATGCTGTTTGCCTTTCCCAGGCAGAATAATATTCGGAGAGCCACGAGCGTGTTGCGTCTTTATATGACTGATATGAATCGATTTTACCCCATTGGACCGTTATTTGCTGATGGTGTTTCTAAAAACTCAGATACTCTGCAGTACATGGGTGGTGAACTGTTTGCCCTGTACGAGTGGAATGCAGGACAAGGGCGTGTTGTGCTCGCACACCTCACTGAGCAGCTGGATGAAATAAAGACTGCGCTGAGGAATTGGGATGCAGTCGACAAGAACGTCGCAACGCCTTGCACTTCCACCAGCAAGGAGGGAACCGCATCCGACGGTGCCTGCAGCACTCCTATGCCCACGAATGGACTGGTCGGATATTTGTCCAACGAGGGTGAGAGGGATTGCTGGGTGAACGAATATCTCGCGGCGAGTGCCACGGTGATTGGGACAGCAACGGAGGTTGAGGGCGGTGCGACGTTTGAGGGGCCTGGAGTGTGGGCAGAGTGGCCTGTGGGTAATCGGTGGCGAGATCAACGATTCCACATTGTGAAGAAGGAGTTCACTCTTTTGGTGACGGTGACGATTGGGTCGGCTCCTGCAGGCAGCGGCAGCGCCATTATGGTGGCTGTGGGTGGCGCTGGGAGTGTGAGGATGGTGGGACTGTCAGTCACGGCGGACAATAAGCGGTAGGCGACGTTTGACGGTGAGGCGGGAGAAGCGCAGCACGGGAACTGCGGGCTGGAGAGAACGTACCGGGTGGCAGTTGGGCTCCAGAACGGCATGGGCACCGTGTGCGTGGGTGGCAAAACTTTGGGGAGCTCAGCAACGACAGTTACACGTGGGGCGCAGTTGCTCGACGTCTCATGCTTCTACGTTGGAGGTGAAGGTTGCAGTGGCTCAGGCTGCAGTTAGGTGACGCTGACGCATTTCTGTCTGTGCAACCGCCCACTGACCAGGCAGGAACTACAGATGCCCTTTTGCGTGGCAAGCAGACTGAAGCGGGTTGCAAGGAGGGAAAAGCGACACTGCGCCCCGGGAATTTCGCGGCCAAACTGCCACAGGATCTGGGCATTGACGCGGCTGCGGGGGAAGCGGTGCCAGTGCCCGCCAAAGGGGGAATTTTGCGCGGGAAACAGCACCACTGATGTCAATGGCTCTACTGTTTTATTGTTCCCAAAATGAATTGGTGACGGTGCCTTCCATGGGTGTGTGCCTTGGGCATTTTCTGCCCCTACTTCAAGGAGTGTGTGGGGAATTGGCATTTTTATGAGCCGTAGAATGCGGTTGTGCGATTTCTAATGGACCGTACGTGCCGCTTTTCCCAAGTGCCTTTTTTTTCGTTTTTTTTAAATGATTCATTGTCATTGTCTGCTGCTGCTGGTGCACGGATGGGATAGTCAGCAGCCCTTCTTTTCCTTTTTCCGTCCGACGGTTAATCGCCGTACATGTCATGAGTGACGTGTTTCTTACTTTTATTTGTTGTTTGTGGCCCACACCGTTGCCAGCCTTACTGCTGTGCGTCCCACGGACTGCACAAAAAAAGGGGGATTGGAGGAACAGGCCGGATGCCGCATGAAATGTGAAGAGTGTTTTGTGGGCTGGTGGAACAGTACGATCTGTTTTATTTTTGATTTTATTGTTTTTACTTGTGCAGGCAATATGTATAGACAAAAACACGGTCGTTTTGTGCCACATGGCACATGAAATGAAAGTCATGCCTGATCATTTTTTTACTTTTTGGGAGCCCTTCCGGACTCTCAACTCTGTTGTTGTGCTTTTTTACTTTTTAGATTCTGGTTTGCAGGGCGGTGTGTGTTGTTTGCAATCGCACCGATTCCAACTGCCTTATGGTGTTGCTGGGATGTTGTTGTTGTCACTGTTTGGTGGCGTGGCTGACTGACTCTTCTCTTCTTTTTGCTTTCACTCTGCGTTGACGGGGTGTTAGTTTGTGCTGAAGGCTGCACGCAAGTGACAGGAGTGATGGCGATGATGATGACTGGCCGTGTGCTGCTGGTGTGTGCCCTCTGCGTGCTGTGGTGCGTCACTGTTTTTGGAGCTGCAAGGGACAACCGCTCCGTTGAGGGTGATGGGAACGTATTGACGCACACGCATAATGGAGGAAATGACAGGGTGCGCCTGAAGGCGGGTTGCGGTTTGATTTCCACCCGAATGGGATTAATAAAGGCGGTTGCAGCTGGGGATGACAGTGAAGGTGGAACTACTAATGCCCCATTGGATGGGGAGGAGAAAACAGCGCCTGGTGGTGAGCCCGCTGGTAGTGGGGACAATGAAACGCCTGGCCCAAAAGGAGGGAATGGTGCCGCAGGTGCAGGAGCAGCATCCCTGCCGGTGTCTGGGCCTGGAGTGCCAGGGGCAAGTACAAAAACCAGGCAGTCACCTGTGGCTGGTCAAGAAGGGAATGAAAACAAAAACGTGGATCCCGACAGCAATGCGGCAGCTGGGCCCCCAGACCAAACCAACGATCAATTGCCCTCTTCATCTGGCAGCACTCCCAGTCCTCCTGGTGAAAAACCCTCTTCGATGGGTACTTCCGACATTAAACAATTGCCCACGGAAACGCTGAAGAACGGGGTTGCTGAACCTCGCAATAAATCTGGCGATGATGGAGAGAGAGA